TAGCCACCTACCTTCCACTACTAAAGTCTTCAAAATCACATAACAATCTAATTTAAATTTTCTAATTTGCATTTCTATAGATTACATGTTGAAAATATTCACTCTGAAATCTGCTAGCTTACTTAGGTACTTGGGAGTACTCATATATTCCTAATTCATTAATTCAATACACATTCCTCAGAATTAATCCGAATAAGTACGTTAATGATAGGTAAAACACACTTATAGGGATCATATATAAAACATCACTTAACCCAATGGAACAGATAAAAGGAAAAAAAACATGTGGGTAATTATATAGCTACAGAAACATTGAGAAGTGAGAGAAATTTCACCATGCTCATTACCCACAAAAAAAAAAAAAAAATAATAAAAAAATAATAAATTCTAGGACATTCAAATTTCAAACACACAATCAATTACCAATTAAGCGCCCAAATTGAACTGACCCACAAATAAACATAATTAGAGAAAAAACACATTAATAAAAACAAAATTCTTCAATTCCACAAATCTAAATCTTTTAACATTTTCAAAGTGAAAGCATAATTGAATTGTAAGAAGAAGTTTCTTTAGTTGAGTCTCAAAACGGTTATTTAAACTTGGGCCTTAATTGGTCTCCAAGTGAGCCTCTAAAACTGATCGGGGTTAGTTGGGCCTGTCCATCTTTTTCACTTGTACAATTGCTTAACCGGGATTTTTATTTATTTATTTATTTTCTTCTAAATCATTGATTGTTTTAAATTTATCCTGAGTGTAATTTTAATAACTAAAGTCACTAAATTTCAGTTGGTAAAATTCAACTTAATTCATAATATATATTTCAAAATTGAATGTAAATTCTGGAAGAAGAATAAACGTCCCTAACAATCATCCTATTGAATCTTTCCCCTAACTCTCTAGAAAATAGGAAGAAGGGTATTTTAGGCAACACAAACTTTAAACAGTAAAAATTCATGTGCCATGTCATCTTTTAGGTCAAACACATTTTGAAAATATAGGACTTTGACTCAATCAATGAGTAAATATGCCCCCCTAAGCCCATTTATATGTAAAAATCCCTAATAATTAAAGGATCGAGCAACTACTAAAGAGGACTTTGGTTAGTTGATGGAGAATTTTCTTTGGATAGAAGGAGATGGTGAGAAGATGGTATTTGTAGCTAGTAAGTAAAGACATCTTTTGTTTCTATTTGTTCATGGCTTAAGCAATTACCAATGCTAATAGCCAAATATGTTATATCTCCGTGTTTTGTTTGATTGTCATCAGTCATAGAAAGCCACATTACATTACAAGAAAGGGAATCATCTTTGAAATGCACTCTTTTTTTTTTTTTTTTGGGGGGGGGGGGGGGGGGGGGAGGGGGAATGGAATAAAATCACTTCACAACAAAGAGGCATTCGGTAGTTTGACATCACATCTCACTTTATTTTGGCATCACAACTCTGTTTGGTAGAAAGAACTAATAATAATCCAATATGATATATGTAGTCCAAGTCATTTGTTGATGGGTTCTGTTTGGCAACTTAGTTTGCATGTTATAGTTTAGAATAGGCGTCATTCGACAGTTTGATGCAAAAGTCGGTCATGGCAATGCACATCACATCACAATAGAGAGGCATCTTTGTTTTATATGTTTTGGGTTACCCTAAACTGAACTAACTTATCATGCAAGACCAATATATTCTTAATTAACATCATTGATGAAAGGAATTAGTTGTTCCCCACTAAATGTCTCCCTCTGATCTTTGTGCCAAAGAACACACACAAATGCACAGTTGATGTAATCGGCACTAACATGAATGGTTTCTTTTGTCCGGATGATTGAGCTGATAGATAAATGTGTCAGAACCAAATGAAACAGATTGAAATCTGTAGAAGCGTTTTTAAGTATTAATATACATAAAAATAATTAAAAATTCTTAATTCAGGAACTAAATTGAACTATCTATAATGTCTAAAATCTTGATTCAATGGAGCTATAGTTTGAAGTAATTTTGAATTATCTTTATGACATAAATTTGATACCAATTGACACATGTACATTACCTTAAATTGTAAACTCTGAGGATCAAAGTTCAAGCATACAATCAATTGAACAAATTACTTAAACCAAAAGGTGCTCAAAACGGGTAGGGGGAGATCCACCCAAAACATGTGTGTGTGTGTGTGTGTGAGAGAGAGAGAGAGAGATAGTACTTACCAGTTCATAGAAACACAGCGACCCAAAAGAAGGGGGAGATCCACCCAAAGGAAGTGGAGAAGTAGGGATGCTGTTTCACTGGGTTACAGAGAAGGGGAGAGAGAGGGTGCACAAATGAGGGTTAGGGCTATGCTTAAATCGCTGTTAGATAGAGGGAGAGAAAGAGAGGGCTTTGCACGAATGGGATTATGGGTGAGGGTTAGGGCTTATCGCTATTACAGAGAGGGGGAGAGAGAGAGGGCTGCACGAATGGGATTATGAGTGAGGGTTAGGGTTGATCGCTATTATAGAGAGGGGGAGAGAGAGAGGGCTACACGAATGGGATTATGAGTGAGGGTTAGGGCTGCAATAAGGTAAATGTATTAAAATATGGAGAAGAGCATTTTAGGGAACACTGAAAATAGGGAGAAGGGAATTTTAGGCAACACAAACTTTAAACAGTAAAAAATCATGTGCCATGTCTCTTTTAGGTCAAACACATTTTTTTTGAAAATATACTACTTTGACTCAATCAATGAGTAAATATAGGCCCCTAAGCCCATTTATATGTAAAAATCCCTTCTTTTTTTTTATTCATTTTTACTCATGGGTCGTTGACTCTAATTAGTACTATCTTGTAACATGATATATAAGGTTGCTTGGGGTTTGGAGTGTGATCATCAAGAGACAAAAAATTGTAGAAATAGAGTGAGGGATGAAACTTGTAATTTTTTATTTTACACGTGAAGACTTTGGCCGGATTTCCACCATGGACGTAGGCTTTGTCGAACCACGTTTAAATCTTTGTACCGATTGTGTAATGTGTTTATTTATTTATTTTTTTTGTCGTGTTTTGTAATTGTTGCTTGGTTTGTCTTCTAAATTTTTCTTTCCTTTTTATTTTGCTCTTAATATTCCTCTGATTTCCTTAAAAAAAAAAAAGTTAAATTTTCCTTCTTTACTCAAACTCTATTTTTTTTTTCTTTAAAATTTCTCATTTTCTTCCCCTTTTCTTTCTTTCTTTCTTCTTCTTCTTATTATTTTTTGACTCCTAGTTCTTAACATTCTTTTTTTTGCACTTAAAAATGATGTGCTTTTTTTTTTTTTAAATATATATATATATATATATATATATTAAACTGCGCCCCCTTGAATTAAAATACTGACTCTGCCCCTGGATAGAAATATAAAATTTATGGTTTGAAATTAGAATTAAGGTCAATTGTAGATTTCAATTTTAAACTAGTTTTGTTTCATACTTCATATTATGACGTGTTACTAATTTTTGCAACTATTCTAATACTAGTTGGAAGTAGCAAATGAAATTTGTTAATTTCTGCATGTCAAGAAACCAAAAAAGTAACCCACTTCCGGCTGGCTGTACTTTGGTGTTTTGCAAGTTCAAGGTCCATGGTTCGAGTCCCTATTGGGTGTTCTTTGTAATTAGTCTTTACTGTCCCTGCAATGACTTATTCAGTCCGGGTGGGAAGGCTCCCTTCCGGATCTTCGGGGATTAGAAGGTTGTTGAGGGGCCCTCGGATTCGTGCCTTCTCAGATACTTTGGGTTAACCAAAAGAAAAAAAACCCTAAAAGTAGCTCTGTCATTAACGGTATTTACTTTCTTATTTATGTATTAATGACCAATCAGATACAGTAGCTTTGGTGGAAGTATCATCATTCATTAAAAAATGACCAGCAAAATTTTTTTTTTTCATTTGAAGTTTAGTCATGCCCCAAATGATGAGCTGTGATTTTTAGGTGTTAAAGAAAAAAAATTTGGATCAAAATGAATTTTGAAAAAGAAGTGTGGGAAAATATCTTATAAAAGAACGAGTCGTATATTTTCCAACCAAAGATATACATGAAACTCAAATTCATGGATTGATGTAAGATAAAACTTTCAAAAACATGATAGCGGTTGAATTTATTTTACTCAGCGAAGTCCGACCGGTTGGGAAAGTGTGGGGTTCTTTGGTTACTCTTTGATATGTTTCTTAATTTTTTACAAAAGCGGATCTAGAGGTGGGCTTTGGTGGGCTCGACTCTCGAGTCCACAAAAAAAAAAAAAAATTACTACAGCCAATTTTAACCCAACCAAAAAAAAAATTATTACTAGTAATCAGCCCACCCAAATATTAGCCTATTCCATTGTTCATTGACAATTTCATCCGCCCTTTGATTTTTTGTTAAATCCTTATTTGATATGATTTGATTTCTGAAAATTTGGTGAATCATACTCTTTTGTGTTTACTAATTTTAATTTTATTCTATTTACTTTACATGTATGTCTAATGAAATTAATTTTCTTGAAAATTCTCATGTTTATATGCCACCGACTATTTATAAAGTGTCGATGTACCCCATTAATATCAGTAAAATAAACAATAATTAATATGTTCCCGTCATTCGAGAAAACAAATAAATATAATAGAACAAGAAAAAACAAAAATCTAACCTTTGAAGCCACTATACCGTTTTAATGTAAAGTACGAATTTTGGCTATTCGAAGTGAAGTTCCTTAGAAGAAAAACCAATATTGAAAGGGCAGTTCTGTGTCCAATTGTGTTGAATACAACATGTACATTGTTATTTGACTTATGCTTCAAGTAATAAAAAAACTCAGATTGAGCAAAATCCAAATAATATTCAATTAAATGAAGAAATGACAAGACATGATCTATGTGACTGAAAGAAAATCAGAGTTCACTGTACATTAATTTTTTTTTTTCCCAGGTGACAAGATATTGAACCAAATATTTAACCAGAAACAAAGAAGGCATTCATAGTTGTTCCTTAAATATAAAGGAGTCAGAAAACATTAAAATAAATAAATAAAACTTTTAGAACTGATATTCAGAACTCCTGGAATTACCACCAAAATAATTCCACAAAAATCCATATAGACAAATTCGGTTTCTCGCAACCTGTGTAGGACTCTACACAGTTTATAACATATGATAAGACATTTGATATGAGCGTGTATAACTTCCTATAAAACAAAAGTGACAAGAACATTTTGGTCCACAACCCCAATTATACACAATTCGGATCCAAAAAGTACAGGTATAGTCACAGCTGACTCTGACGAAATTCTGCACCAGGATAATGTGAAATTCCAATATGATCATGCAGCACTCACGCAGTACTCCCAAGTCCCGTATTTTGAGCTGAAGCTCCCTCCACCACTCTGCTGCGCGTGCTCTGAAATAACAGCACGTGCACAAACATCCCAAGTCCTTGCTATCTCCCTAAGTGACATGGGTTGTGGAAGGCTCCGGAGAGAGATGATAAATCTTGACTCTGCCTTTACCGAAAGATCTTCATACTCCTTGCTGCCAAAGCAAACATGACCAATCCAATTTACATCAGAAATAAAGAGGATTCATTTATGTTTAGATGCAGCCAGAACTAATGCACAAAAAAGAAAAAAGAGGGTGGTTTTTTTTTTTTGTTTTTTTCCGATATTTATGGTAAAGTCATCTGAATACTCCCTAGATGGGGCACATATGCATACAATTTCAGAGGATTTAGAGAAGCGAACAACAAGAAATCCTATTGATGAACTCTACAAGTTTGCCAGGCAAGATGCCTTGAGGCTCCTTGTCAGTTTGCACTAGTTTGAAAATTCTCTATTACTCACAACGCCTGATAAATCCTAATATATATATATATATATATATATATATTTGGACAAGACCAGGCCGGTCAGACTGCAAACCAGCTTTGTTTACTAGTTTCAGAAATTGCTTTGACTGGCTGCATTTGTTCAGAGAAGTATCTCCTCTCAATCTCCCTGTGTCACTGGTTTAGGTGATGATAGTGATTAGGCTTAGCTTGTTATATGTTAAGCTCTTCAATTAAAGAGTTGTTTAATACCCAAACTAATTCTCTTCCTTCCGGTAAGAGCAAACTAATACAGTTCTCTAACAAACCAGTTTGCACTAGTTTCAAATTCCTTTTGATTGATCAAACTCAACAAAATTCAGTTCCTAACTAAAATCGAAACACTCGCAATCCTAATCTCTTTCAGTCTCAGAACTCTATAAAACCTAAGTGAGCATAAACGCAATTAGGGCTGGGAATGTTTTAGAATATGGAGTGCAACTTCAAAATCCTATTGCTTCAAGGAATTAACAATACCGACACTGTGTACACGACACAAAGATTGGATGGCACCAGTCATGAAGATTATTGTGCTAAAGGAGAAGCGGATTCGTGACCGGCAGTGACAGAGATCTGTTGGATTATCTGCATTAGTGGGTCAGAAGTAACTAGGGAATTCTTTAGTTTAGAATCTGATTAATTTAGTTGTAAATCTTTTTCCCACAAGTGGATTTGATCTACGTAAACTAGGCTGAGCCTAGGGTTACGGTTCATAGTTTCATCAAAGCCAAATGGTTCAACAATGAAAACACGGAAAAAAACAAAGAAAAAAGTTTCATCCCAATATTCGAAGTTAGATGTAGAAACTGAAGTATTCCATCCCTTATGAAGACTGATACAATTCAGAAATGGTTAGAGACTTGAATACACAAGTGAAAATGGATTAGTACACAAAACAAATTCTTTAAGGAGGTTCATCCGTATATTTGAAGTTAGATGTAGACACTGAACTATTCCATCACTTATGAAGAATGATACAATTCAGAAATGATTAGAGATTTGAATACACAACTGAAAATGGTTTAGTACACATGTAATAAATTCTAAGTAGTAAAAGAGCTCTTATTCCATCAATGAGTTTCACATGTATTGAGTCTAAAATTTATCAATTCCAAGTCATAAATATACAGCAAAAAATTGCTACAATAATATAGAATAGTGAACATTTTACAGCAACAACTGACCTGACCCACACAATGTGTGGATTGATTAAGGAGTATAAATAATTAGAATCACAAAAATTATTTTCGTTAAAATTGAAGAGAGAAATAGAAAATGAAGAACACAAGGATATGACGTGGTTCAGCCACTAGGGCCTACATCCATGGCACAAAGAGCCCAAAGGGCTACATCACACACACAGCATTACAATGTGTGTGTAAAAATTATTTTAACTTGCTCACTCACACACACAGCATTACAGAGACAAAAAAAAAAAAAAAAAAGTGGAAATATATAGGGAAGGAGCAAAAGCATCAGTGTTATTCAATTTACCATTAGTTGCAAAACAGATACCTACCAAAAGAAAAATGCAAACCAAAAACAAATTTGCGCTTTGTTAGACTGAATATAGAATTATTTTATTTTTTTGTATTTCATATCAGGGCACGTTGGTCATTTTACTTTAACACTATTTTTGTTATAAGATGAGAAGTGATCAGTAACCTCTCTGAAAATTTCCCAAACATAGTCTTCTCTGTTTCCTTCTTTTTCAACACTAATTCCAACATGGTACCAAAGTGAGATTCTAGTGACAATCGTCAGTGTTATCACCGTTGATCGTTGTTGCTGGCAAGAGTACATCTCTCACCATCATAGAATTACATAGAGTTTCATCATCGTTGTTATCGTGCGGTTGCCAAAGGTGGCTGTTGCCGTTGTATTGCAGATCGTTGTCTCCATTATATTGCAGACATCGTCAAATATTGTTTTTTTTTTTTTTTTTTTGATAAGTAAAATTGTATAGAAAGCGCTCAAAAGGGGAGCGAAACCCAATAGAAATACAAAAGGCTAGCAAGAGCCTCAAGCCTTCAAAGAGGCCAAAAAAATGACAAACTCCTCCAAAGATCTATAATTTCTCCCTGAAACCCAACAAAAAAGAGTGGAAAGAATATAGAATTTAAGAATAGAAATGGGCAACTCCTTCCCATCAAAGTATCTCCTATACCTCTCAAGCCATAAACACCACCAAACACAAAGAGGTGTAGCCCTCCAAGCATCTCGAATATGAGCCCCCACAGAACAACCTCTCCAAGCCTCCATCAACCCTCTAGCGGATCCAGGCATCACCTAGAGAATCCCAAATCGACCAAGCATCAAATCCCAACATTCATTGGCCACGGTGCAGTGAAAAGAAGGTGATCTACTGATTCCTCATCTCGGAGGCACATGTAACAACGATTGACCACCACCTGATTTCTCCTTCTCAAGTTATCTTGGGTTAAAATCTTTCCCAAAACAGAGGTCCAAGCAAAGAAGGCCACCTTGAGAGGAGCCTTTGAGCGCCAAATGTGTAACAGTTGTGTGGTGGTCGCCGTCGTTGTGTGGTGACTGCTGTTTGGTGAATATTGTTGGTGTGTAACAGATCTCTTGTGGCTAGGGTTAATAACAAACAGAGAAGACAAAGCCCAACACACTAGTTACCCACTCGGTTTGGGGTTTCATAGTCTTCTCGAGAGTGAGGGGTACTCGGAGTTTCTAAGTGCTAGGCTCTTGTCATCCTTCCTTGACCATTTTACTTGTCAGGACTTCTTATAGAGAATAGTGGAGGACCTTAGCGAGGTCCCCTTTATTTGAAGGATTAGGTATGTAAATAGTGGATGTAGTTATTATTAAATGGGTAAAATGCAAAAAACCTCCTTGAGCTACAAATTGCCCCCCTGAACTATTGATTTATTGCAATTAAAGACAAAAATCATTGCAAAAGACTATTTTACCCTTTCTCATTAAATTGTCATTTCTTATTAAATTAGTTTTATTATCTTTTCTCTTATCTAAATATTAATTACACTATGTACCTTAATTTTATAATTAGTATCAATTTATCATAAAAATGGAAAAAAATATATAAATTTGTAACTACCATTTTCTAAAATATTAACTTATTATTAATAATTTTATTACTTATAATAAAACTTATTATATTCAATTCAAACTTTTTTACCGTAAAAAAATACCTTCTTTTTTTTTATACAATATATTCATGAAAAATTATTAAATTATTTAAATAAATAAAAAACCTTCTTTTTTATGCAATATATTTATGAAAAATTAAGAAATTACATCTATATATATATATCTATTTTAAAAAATTTCTACTTAAGATTTTTATTTAAACAATTAATTTCAAAAATTTAAGGTAAATTTATGCAAATTTAATGGAGAATATGTCTTCGAATTAGTGTGAATTTGTTTCATAATTTTTTTCAACAAGAAAAATAGATTTAAGTGTAATTCAATAAAAAAGGGCATTATGGTCATTTAATGAAAAATAGTCTAGGCATTGAGGCATTTTGAAACAAAATGTAATAGTTCATGGGGTATTATTCATAAAATATACTTCAAGTGCAAATTCGAACATATTTCAGGATTTTTTTGCACTTTACCCTTATTTAAATAATATTATTGATATCATTACTGTAATATGATTTCTTTCTTTTCTTTTTTTCTTTCTTTTTTCCCCTTTTGTGGGGGTGGGGGGCACTTAAGACCATTGTATTATGTTAACGCCACTTGGCCGACCCCACTTAGCAATGTGGAAACCAACCACTTATAACCTTCATGCATTCATACATTTTACTTTATGCTTCCAAACATGGTTTACCATTTTTTCGTCATTCCCATTGTGTTTCCAAAATAACATTTCTATTGTGTTATCTAAACCAACTGAATTTCCATTTTTTAATTCTTATTAAAAACACTAAGAATTATGATAAAAGGGAAACTGAAATGTGGGCACAAATTAAGAAGTGGAACTATTATTGAAGGAAATTTTTTGAAGATAATAGGTGCTATTGATAGGTTAAAGGGAAAAGATAAAATTAAAATGCAAGTTTTGCTAAAAAAGGGGGAAAATGGCATAAGCATATGCGGAAATAAATAACAATAGGTATAAATGAAAGGCATGCTACGTGTCCTTACCTAACTTCAACTGAAAACTTGTCTAGGAATAACGGTGAGCAATTTGGATAGTTTTTGGGAACAATTAAACGCAACGGCCGAATTGGGGACTGCATATATATAGAACACAAAGTAAATACAAAAAGGAAAGAAAAGAGAATAGTGATAAACTACATTCAGATTAGAGGTCTGAAACCTTACCAGTTGTGAAGAAGCATACTGTGACTTCAAGTTTCCGCTGATAGCCACAGCATTGAAGGAGCACTTAACAATGGTTCCTTCGCCACCCCCTTCAGCTGCAGCAGCAGCTGCTGCTATAGTTGGATCAGCATCTTCATCACTGATATCTACCACTGTATCTATAAGTTGCTGATTAATCTCCCTTATTTCTTCCAGAAGGGCATGATTAGCCTGTAACAGGTGACGCGTTATTTCTTTACACTGAAGAACCTACATGAGCACTTCACCTCAAAGTTGACAATTCTAAGATGGAAATCGGTTCAAATTTGAAAGTTCTCAGCAGTAAAAAGGAAAATTCATGTTCACTTTTCACAAAGATATTGTAGGAAGAGTCCTCATACCAAACAATTAGGAAACTAAAGAAGATACAGCACACAACTCAAAATTAGATCAAAACCAAAATCACCTTCAATATTTTAATAAATAATTTTCTGCTACCTTCCAAAAAAATAATCTTCTGGTGGGATGATGAAGCCATCCCGTAAGATTGCTGTGTAGAATGACATGAACTATACAACAACCCCATAATTATTTAATGACACCAAAATAGTCGTTTCTTTTATTAATAATTTATACGCAGAAACATATATACCAATGACTACCAAAAGCTACTATAATTATCTTGCTAGTCATAAAGACTTTTTTTTTTCTTAAATATAATGATTTTCTTTCAATTGAAAAAACAACAAGAGGTTAATAATAATTGCCAAAAAAAAAATACACCCACAATAGGCTTGTAAGGCTAAACCACATAGCACTCTCACTCACACACACGACTACAGTAACCATGTCCTCCAATTACACACATACTACTGGTGTCAATGGGAATAATGTAACATTTTCCTAGGCAAGTCTGAAGTCTAAGTAACCTTACTGGGAAAAGAAAAAGGGTCTGCAGTCTGAGTATAGAATAGAAAAAATAAATTAAATTAAGATACTAGATTATTCATTTTTGATTCCTGATATCATGAAACGTGCACACACGTACATAGAGCCCACCAAAATTGTCCAATGCAGTTTTCTTCCAAGCTATAGTCTAGATAGGTAATATTTTCTTCTTGACAATATTTATTTAATGAACGGTTATATTCACATATGTTGGAAGATGTTACTGTGAAAGCTAATATTAACCTAGTATTAGTTGTATAAATAGCAGACCATCCAGTATTAGACTTTCTATAGTTGCTGCCATATTTAGCTCCTTTTATTTAGGGATTTGATTCTTATGGTTGCGGAGGTAGCTGAGTTCTTAGCTTTATTGTACAGACAGGTGGTGGAGGGGGTTGGGGATGGATGAGATGGTTTAGGTGGGCACACCTAGAGGAGTGCTTGAGGTTAGATCTTTTTATTATAGTCTTGTAGAGATCCCAGGTCATTCCTTCCCATGGAAGGCAATTTGGAAGTCCAAAGCTCCCTTGAAGGTGGCCTTCTTTGTATGGTGTGCCGCTCACGGTAGCATTCTTAATCCTGACAATCTAAGGGAGAGACAGCAGATCATGGTCAACTGCTGTTGTATGTGCAAGAAGACACAGGAAACAGTGAATCACCTTCTTCTTCACTGCCCAGTGGTGAGGGATGTTTGGGCTCTGTTCTTGGTTGTGTTTGGTATGTCTTGGGTGTTCCCAAGATCCACAGCGGATATGATTGAGGCTTGGAGAGGGTGTCAAGTGGAGAGCCGGGCCAGGGATGTTTGGAGGGCCATTCCCCTTTGCTTATGGTGGGGTTTGTGGTGTGAGAGAAATAGGAGATCCTTTGAAGGGGTGGAGACTCCTATTTGGATTCTCAAATATAGTAAACCGAATACTTATTTTTTTGGGTGAATAGGCATAATTGCAAATCTTTGGGGCATTTTTTGGACTTTGTTGATAGCTTGAAGCTTTAGTTGTCGCCTTTGGCGTCTTGTGTATCCTTTTGGGCGTGCTCCCCTCTTGAGCGCTTTTAATGAAATTTTACTTATAAAAAACAATTGACTGCGGTAAGTTAGTTCCTTTATTTTAGGGATTTCATTATTATGATTGTTGCAAGTTAGGAGCAGATTAGGAGCAAATTGTAGGGTTTTGTTTTACATTTTTTTCCTTATATAGTTTTCCCTCTTTCTTATATATACTTGTACAAGATGTGAACATATTAAGATGAAATATACAAATTTCTCTATAATTTCAACAACATAAAATACAAGAGATAATTAAACCTAGAGAGAATCAAAGTTAATAATTCCATTTGAATTAGCTAAATGAAGTCAAATCCACAACCATCAAATCTAGTAGAAGCATAGAGCCATAAATTCTCAAACTCGCTTAACCTAGCCTTAATCCTACTGCGTATAGCAACAAAATCCAACACCATAACTTCAATTAAACCACATGCTATTATATCTTCATCCTGTTAATTTTGGTTTTTTCCTTTCCCTAGAATAACCCTTGTTGTGGACCACGCCCTCTTCCTCGGAAGAGCAGTTATTAGATATCATTAGAAAATAGTAAAAATTATAAACACTTCCTTTTCATTCATACTACAGCTTAAACGTTGTTACAATACAAAAAGGTTTCCTTAGATGATGAGACTTTTTTGGGTCTTTTGAGGTTCAGGTAATGAACATGAGTGCGTTAAATTGGGTTGCGTAGTATGATAGACAAAGTAATAAAATGGCTCGAATCATGCAAAATACATGATTAAAGGAGGAAACACACAAAAACATTAGATTAGAGTGCATGTCACTATTGGTCCTCCAAAAAGCCCACAAAGTTCTATATTATGAATTCTACATTTAAACATAGTCCACTTCCAAAAATAATTTATTTTCTTATGTAAGAATATTCCAGAAGAAATGTCACCTCAATTCTACGCCTCTTGACATTAGATGTTGCAGTCAGCTCCAAGTCAGACACTTCTGAACCAGTCAACTGCTTGAAACCATCAATCATTATGCCAGTAGAAGGTGCACCATTTAAGGGCATTGCACTTGTGTAGCGCCTCATTTTCCTTGTTCCAGTAGTTCCATCTTGCCTGATAAAATTTCTTGCCAGTAGACGACATTTTGTCGTGGCAACAAAATCTTCACCAATTGCAGCTCTAGACCCATTACCTGGTGCTGCTCCTGCTGTTCTATCAATCATACTGACAACTGAGCCAATGTCATCAACTGATGCGCTCAATGTTTTTGCTGACACCGACTTTACCTGAAAATGAATGCAATTGCAAATTTGATCACTCACATACAAAGGAAACAACCTTCAACTGCAGTTCATCCAGAATATATAATTATGTATCACCAATAAATAGTGGAAAAAAAACCAAACTAACCACTTTAATTAAGAGTTCAAGAGCATGTTCTGCAACACTTGATTTGCCGGAAATTGTAGAGGCATTAATATGATGGCCATCTGGACTGGTGAACTCTTCAAGCAAAGGCGAGGCTGAAAACCCAGGAGTGCCAATGGCAAGGGATTGGGATGGTGCTAGTACACCAGTTGTTGGTTGACTTCCAATATTTCCAGCACCGGAGAGTGATGACACACAAGGGTTAACTTTTTCAGACTCCTCAGGCATTTGGAATGGAGCCAGGGGAGTTGAAGGAGATGGGACAACAAAGGGTGAATTTGCAGATTGCACAGGTGTTCCAGCTTTTGTAAGAGATGTTAACACATTTAGCTGGTCAATCTGTGGTGAAGGATGCGGAGGAATCTGAGGAGATGCAGCCTGAAGGAGTTGTGGTGAGGAAACTGGTAATGAAGCTCCTGACATCAACTGTTGATGCTGATCAGCTGAGCGCTGGCCTGCTGGGTGATGTTGCTGAAACAATCCTGATTTAACCCCCATCTGCTGTCTCATCTTCAAGTCATTTACTTCATCCATCTGATGAAGCTGTGACATTTGGTGTGTCTGAAACTGTGCAGGCTGCTGCTTTGTTTGCTGCCACTGCTGCTGACGTTGCAGTAACTGCTGTTTGTGCATCAATTGCTTCTGCATCTGGCGTTGTTGTAACTGTTGTTTCAATTCTTGGCCCTGTAGCATCTGCTGTTCCTGTTGCTGCTTCAGATGCTGGCTTTGAAGAATATTGGAATTTGATTGTAGTGGATTAATGTTCAGCTGCAGTGCATTCCCACTATGTGATGATAAGGAATTAATGGTTACCTGTTGGGAAGTACCAACAGGATTTTGTTGTAGAGATCCCACAGAAACCTGCTGTAATGATTTCACTGCATTCCCTTGACCTGAATCCATACTAGAGCTATGCTGCACTGAATTTGTTGTATTATGCGGTGCACTTGAATCTGCAGAAGAGGAAGACAAAGAATTATGCTGCAAACTCGTCGCATTGTTCTGCTGCAATGTTCCTACAGAACCCTGTAAGTTCATCGATTGCATCTGGGGATTCATTTGGTTTTCAAGTGGCTGCAATTGAGTAACTTGAGATCGTGGCTGTTGTGTTTGCTGCATGGAATGCATATGAGACGGGGGAAGTTGCTCCTGTTTATGTGCAGGGCCATGCTTCGAAAGCATTGAATTAAGAAAGCTAATTATTTGCTTCTCAATAGAATCCAGCTTGTCCTTAGAGACAGGTGGAATATTGGTCTTCGAAACCTGTAAGAGTGATATATGGCGCTCCAACGAAGTCTTAAGCACTTTTAGCCTATCATATTGCTCTTTCTTTTGTGGCTGAGGAAGAGAATCAACGTAAGATCATAAGTGTAATGATATGGGAAGTCATAACAGTTCATTAATTCTTTAATTTGAGGCCATGTCCAGATAGTATAACAAAACTTTCCACAGGGACACCACACTCTTACGAACCCTAGATCCCACCCCCATCAGAGATTAACCCTACTATCATAATTTAAAAGGTATAGACCCCTTTAAAAGTTACATGAGGAAATTAAATTCACGAGATGTAGAAGGATAACTACCTGGAGCAATCTTACAGCCAATTTCTGGTCCACCTCATTTAAGTCTCGTAAATACATCTCCTTCATGGCCTTGATCTGCGGAGGTATAATTTTAATAATTTCAGACACAAATAATTTTGATAATTTACCCCTTGCACAAAATTGAAAATGTAATATATAAGAAAAATTTTCCCTACATGCTTTTCCTTTTCCACGTCAACAGAATTTTCTGTTATTTATATCTCAAAATTAAAGAATAAGCCAAAAACAAAAAAAGGCATAAAAAAATAAAAGCTTTAAAGTAAGCAAGTTTTATTCATCATGCATGAAGGTCATGCAGCGACCGTATCATCATTATCATCATCGTCATCCTTGACTTTTTCCCAAATGAATGGGTCGGCCACATGTTTTTGGGATACATCTGGGAACCTCTCAACCGCCAAATACACCCTGTAACAGAGCCGTTCGTCGTTCACTAGGATCCACTCCAGGACGACGCCATCATCGTCAACATAAATAATAACCTTGCTCGCATCCTTCCTTTCATCTGCTTCAACCTTCCTGAACCCCCCACAAGTGTTGCCAATCAATTCAAACAGAGCATACGACCACAGATGCAACGGCAAAGCGAACACCATCACTCTCTTCACCTTTTTTTCCTTAAGAATACCACAACACCCAACACAGAAGGACCACACATCCAGTCGTAACTCAGCTTCTCCCCAAGTCCGTTTGCCTTCCCTCAACACCCTAATCACCTCAGTATGAGAAAGCAGTCTGAACAGAAAGAGAGAATCCGGCAACGGAGATATCAACACACCTGCAGAACCTTCCAAGTCCTCAAAGCCCAATCTTCCATTCTCGCACAACCCCCAACATCTCGGTCAAACCTTCCCACCAGAAGGCTTTGAATACCATCCCTTCTTTTCCAAATGCTTTGATCATCGAGAAAGAAATCAAGGCTTTTCCTGGATTTCCCTTTAGAAATCTAGGCTTCGACGGTGATTGGAGTAACTCCAGTCTTTCTTACTTACTGTTGTAAGAAGACTTCTTTCTCTTTTTTTTCTGTTTACTTCACATAGGGAATGAGAAAAGCAAGAATAATGAGGGGGAAGAAAAGACAGAGAGAGTTCACAAACTCACGATAACAATTCAATAATCCAAAGCTAAATTGTCTGATGTACGAGCCTTTACATAGGCAAATTATTAAGCAAAACCCAAAACATAAAAATACCAAAATAACCTTAAAATTCAAACATTAACAAAAATAACTATAAGCATAAATAAAAACTCCAATTTACTAAAATCCCTAGATTTATTTCTCTTTCCCTCTTCTCCAAAAGTAATGTTGTAGCATGTGCAACTCGTGTGCAATCATATCTCATTCCCCATCACTCAGTCTCTCTACCCTATCTCTTTCAATCTATATTTTCGTCCCGTTTCATCTGTCTTCTCACCTCTTTTCTTTTAGCCTCATCTCATTCTCATACCTTCTTTCTTTCTAGTTCTAAATCAAAGTTATGACAAGCCTATCTATCCTGCATCAATTAACTTACCGAAAAAAAAAAAAAAACACTTGCTTAGAGCATTATTTGCAAAGTTTCCGAATTTGAATCAAATTGAAAAAAGTCTAAACCAACCGGGGTTCTAGGAAAATTAAATATACACCATTATATGACTCGTAATGGGTAAGATACATAAAAATATGTGAGGTAGGTGAGTGATAGAGATCAATGGCATGCATCTTTAAGGATATACAAAAGGCGCAAAAAGGAATGTCGTAAGGCTCAAGCCTTAATTCGGCACATGCTAGATGATAGGGGGTCCACTTGGAGTCTTGCATAACTGGGGGGATTTGGTCAAATTACATAATTATGGTAGCTTGCATCAATTACGATCAAATTGCATCACTCAGTAGTAATCTAAGAAGCACGGACACGACTAAAAGGGCAAAGAATTTGTGTTGGACACCGACACACGTCGGACACGCCCCGACACGTGTCGGACACACCAAAATACGTGTCCACATATTTTATATTTCTTCGAATATGCAAACACGCCATGGACACGCTACCAACACGCCATGGATACATGTCCAACATGCGTGTCCCACTCTTTGGGGATTTTTAAGAAGGTTTTAGAAACAATGTTGAGTTTAAGTGTAAATATTAGGAGTTGTTTAATTACATAATTACTTAAAACTTCTTGTTTCATAAAACAATTTTATATTCAAACAATTAGATATTTATTCTTATATTTTAGTTTAAAGGTTCGCCCCCTTGCACGATCCTTTTGACTCTCTTGCTGTCCCACCAACCAAGCTTTGCTACAGGTGACTGGTCTCTCTATCTCTCTCCCCTCTTTCTCCTCATTTTTCTCTTATTCTTCATCGTCCCCTTTTCTTTCTTCTTGTTCTTCACAAACCCTAAATACTTTTTTTTTTCGTCCTTTCACAATAAATTTCTTTTTGTCTCTTTTTCCTTTTTCCTCTATTCCCCATGAACTTTTTTCTCTTCTATAGATTCTTACCTTTCTTTTTCTAACAAAACCCCAGTACTCTGTCTCTTTGTTTTTTTCCCTTTTTTTTTTTTTTTTTTTTTTTTTTTTCCCCCTTCTCTTTCTTAATCCTCTTTCTATCATTCTTTCTTTTTTCCAGCAAAATCCCCTTTTTTTTTTTTTTTTTTTTTTTTTCAATTATGAGATTGTAAAAAATAATATTACTATTAATTTCTTAAAGTACAACATCATATATATATAGAAAATATATTTCTTATTTGCCGTGTCCATGTCCTAATTTTTTAGGATTTGCCGTGTCGCCGTATCCGTGTAGCGTCGTATTCGTGTCCGTGCTTCTTAGTTAGTAATTACTTTTGTTATGCTAAAGTCAAATATTGATTACCTCAATTATGGGATAATCCTAGAGTCAAATATTGATTACCTCAATTACGGGGTGATTACTTTTATTATGCAATAGAGTCAACTTTTGATTTCCGAAGGGTACGATGTAAACTTCCTGAGGCAGTCAATGAATGAATAAAAATATCTTTGAGATTTCTTTGTGAGTGATTCACAAATTATGAGGGCGTGAGGCCTTCTCTAGGTGTGATGCCTAGGCCCTGTTGGTGTGATTCCAATAGGTGTTTGTTGTTTTCAATCCTTTCTTTCTACCAACACCTCTTGAACCCCAATTCTATTCATTTGAACTTTCAACAATAACTCTTATTTGTTTTCAAATATTCGAGGCTGCTCATTTGTCCTACATCAGTGAGTGAATACAACCTCTGAGGGGGAGGAACAGAACTAGCACATTCTTTCCAAATCATTCAAAAGCTTCTCCTCATATGATTTAGATAGAACAAAAAATAAGAATACCCATTAGTTGTAAACTGTGTGATCATAATTTGAAGCATGGAACTTTAACTAAATTAAGTTTGAAGTCTGCCACATCAATCGCCTAAATCAGAACGCCTATCTAATTCATTGTTTCGGATGTTACTCTGAGAGATTGTATAAACATATCACTAGTGAAGAAAAGCAAATTGGTGAGGAGGTAATAGGGTTGACATGGAGAGCAATGGACTCGTGATTTCGAGCAGACTGAAGTTTGGATTGGATGGACAACACTGTAAATAGCAGGTAAATCAATTATGGTGATGCTAGGTGATTCTGAAGGGATTGAAGGACATGATTGGGTCAACCTGTGAAGGTTGTACTCTTTTTCTTCATGGTAGATTTGTGTGCTCTAAACCAGGTTCCATGATTTTTTTCCTGTTTGAGTTTTCCATGCAAAAAATTGTGTGTTCTGTGTGCTTGTTGATTGCTTTTATATTCTTTACTATGATTGTTGTCTATAATCAACCAAATGGAAAGATGAAACCCGAAAATAGATAAGACCTGTTCACCCCCAAAGTCAATTTAAAGTATAAATTAAAGAATCAATAAGCATTCACATAGCAACTCAAAGTGATTCATGGTGCACTTCTTTTATTTGTCTTATTTTGATGCCTAGTGATTCATGGTGCACTTCTTTTATTTGTCTTATTTTGATGCCTTCGTCAATTTTTTTCAAAGCTTCTTGCTACTTTTTATATTACACGAGCAACCATGATCTGTTGTAATTAACCCATATTACTTTTATCATCTGGATTTCAATGAATTTCAATTCCCAATATCAACAGTGAATTACAATTATTAAATAGATGATATAATAAAAACCCACAATACATTACCTTCTGATATGCCTCTTCTTGCCAATCTCCACCATTCACATTTCCAGTCTGAGCTGTGGAATCCAAAGGACACAACAAACATAAGCATGTGTACATCTTAGCTAACTAATAATCTGTCCACGATTTAAAATTTTAAAAAAATATATATATATTAGCATGCTTAAGATCTGATTCCATAAAAATGGGAGACTTAACACGCACAAGCTATACAATAGTTGGTTGCTCAGGTCAAAAACTCGTCAAACAAAGATTTATGGGTGTAAACTATTATATACATATAATGATGCAATACAGTACTAGAAAACATAAAATATTGCTCCATACAACTAGGTTTATGTTGGCTAAATTATGGAAATTTTCTAGTTTTAGGGTTTTTTAAAGTACCAAGGAAAGTTAAGGTGTTTGGAACTAGAAGGAGGTTAAAATTGGCTTGGATTTTTAAGTGACTGGCGGCTTGAATTTTAGAAAGTGGCTCTTGGCAATTTGAACGGAAATTAATCATTGAGTTCTGGTATTAAAGTAAAGGCCAAAGAAAGAAAAAGGATTAGGGTTGATGACGGCTTGGAGTAGAGTTTTACAGATAAAATAAGGCTATTTTGGGTAGTGAGCAACATGCCAACAACCCATGAGCTGTAATTTTGCTGTTAGAATTATGTCAGTGATAAAGAGAGGACTAAGCTTATCAAAGTGTTGCGAAAAGTTATTGCAAAGGTTTGATTAGAAGTTGAACAAAGAGCAGAAGTAATTTTTGAGTGAAAATATATAAATGTATATATAATCTCGGGGCACTGAAATATATATTTGGCCCAAAAATATTCGGTTCATTTGGGGTATCAAATTGGCGATGATGGTGGTCAGCATGACTGCATTTTAATACGGTACAAGTCGGAGAACATTTGGCTCTAGTAGATTCTGACTCCTGAGGTAAAATTTATTTGGATATTAGACGACTACACCAAGCAACTATGTCTATATTTCCTCCTCATTATACGAAGAACCATTTGCACCAATTGGTACAATCCATACCGGTAAAATATTTTATTGCGAATGTGTTTTCACCATCCATCTAAGTTCTTTTATTATGATCCGGAAATTAAAAGATTGAGGGTTTTCAAGCTAATTAACTTACCACGAGATATACCACGGTGTCAACTCAATTTCAACAAACGCGTGGTGGGCTTAATTCTACTGGAGGAGCTTCGAACCACCAACTAGGGTCTAGTTCCTTTCCATACTTAGGCTTTTGAACCACCGATTGAACTCAACCCAATTGGTTTATCGATTTGAATCAATTTTGTGGGCTTTCTATTGGGATTGCAGTGGTTCTTCGTGTTGAAGGATATAAATATTTAAGTTACACCCTCTCTAACAGCTTAAGCTTTTGGAGTAGATGGTTGTTAACATAGTATCAGGGCCAAAGATCATGGGTTCGATTCTCAAGAGCCTCATCGCGTGAGGGAGGGATTGTTGGCAAGGTAGCACACAATGCCGCTCCTTGCATGGGTGGGCCTGGATTGAATGCCATAAAAGGCATGTCTTACCCTCATTGGACACCAATTGGCTTTTAGATGAGATGGCATAGCCTGATCCAACAAGTGGTATCAGAGACAAGGGTCTCGAGTTCAAATCTCACCGTCACCCTAATTAAAAAAAAATTGAAAAACACGTGTTGGACCAAAAAGAAGGCTTCACGTGAGGGGGCGTGTTGAAGGATATAAATATTTAAGTTACACCATCTATAACAACTTAAGCTTTTGGAGTAGATGGCTGTTAACACTTCGCAACAACCGGAATATTGAATCTGGTTGCACTCCTAGAAGCGAAGCTTAGAATGGTTTCTTCACGGGCCAGAGGATACAATCTAGAATAAGTTGAAAATGGTGAACAGTGTCACGTGTAGTTTGAGCAGTTACCGAGAGGGAGGGAGAAGGAGGGGGGGGGGGGGGGGGGGGGTTGGAGAGAAAGAGAGGTGGGGTTAGCAGTGGTGATGGTGGAGGGATGGAGGCGGTGGATCGTGCAAATATACACATGTAATTTGGTTAACGTCATACATCTAAATCACAAACATAATACTCTTCGGAATATCTAACCATCTATTATTGCTAATTAATTTACATCTACTCATATGAAAAACAAAGAAGATTAATCTAAAAGGTACTCTTCAATTTGTAAGCAACAATTTGCATGTACTTGTACAAAAAAAAAAAAAAAATAGAAAAGATAAAAAAAAGAAGATTAATCTTAAGCTACTCTTAAATTGAGAGAATCAGAAATGTAGAAGAATAGCAATATCTAAGAATGAGTACACGAATGGTCAAAATATGAAATGTGAATACCATAAGAGCACAGAAACATGGGGAGTAACAGGGTAAAGGAACATATTAAAAGTTGCATAACTGATGGAAGATGACATACATAATGGTGGCTCAGGCACGGCTCTTTGTGATTGAAATAGCTGATTCTGTTGGTCAATCACATTTTGCGATTGAAGCAAGGGACCTGATGTTTGACGCCTTTGCTGCATATCTTGTTGGAATGGAGTTGGCTGTTGCTGCAAACCTAATTGCTGTTGCAACTTGACCGGCTGTGATTGAATCTGTGCCATGAATTGCTGCTGTGGTGGTTGTGCTTGCAACTGATTACCCCGGGTTGGCAACAATGTAGTCGCACTCTGCTGGGTTTGTTGATGCACTGGAACCTTAGCCTGTTGTAACATGTGTACGGAGTGCTCATTAGTCTGCATGCTGGAGTTACCAGACTGAGTTGGAAACATTTGTTGCTGCTGTAGCCCACTAACATTACTTTGAGGGCCCAACTGTTGATGGTCCATATTTAGGAGGTCATTTTGCTGACTCGTTAACTGTTGCTGTTGCTGCTGCTGCTGCAGGTTCAAAATTTTATTCTGCTGGCTTAGCAACCTCTGCCGCTGCTGTTGTTGCTGCTGCATATCAGGAATGCTGTTTCGTTGACCAGTTTGCTGGTTCTGTTGCATGTTTGTAGCATTTGGCTGATGCCCCATCAGCTGCTGCTGCACCGACACTTGATGTTGATTAATAAAGGAAGACTGTTGTGGCTGCTGTTGTTGCCTAATTACAGATTGTGGATGTTGCGGCTGAAGCACAGGTTGTGTTGATTGTTGAACTGAAGACTGCTGGTTCTGTTGAAGGCCAGGCAGTGGAGCTGTTTGCATGACAGAAGGCTGCTTAACAGATTGCTGAGAAGCTTGCAACTGAGATGATTGCAATAGGTTCTGTTGTTGCTGCTGCTGTTGCTGGAAGTTCTGCTTCAAAAGCCGTTGCTGTAATTGTTGCTGATAAAGATATTGGGGCTGATTCTGAGACTGTTGTTGTTGCTGTTCGGTAACAACTTGTTGCCGTTGCATCTGCCTCTGATAATTGGGGAAAACATTGGAAGGCACCCCTTGCACCATTGAATTTCCTAACGAGTTCTGAGAGGCCCCAGACAAGTTCTGAATGTTCTGCAAGTTGGAATTCTGGCAAACAACATTTGGTATGGAAGTCTGATTCATAATGCCAACAGGAGACAATGCAGATGTTGAACTAGAGGAACCTTGTACTCCAGTTGATCCAAGATTATTTTGAATGTTCCGGGATAATATTTTTTGGCAAGCTCGAGTCTGATTGGTCTCTGTTGGAATGGAAAGTGGTTGCCCTTGGTTGTTAACTTGGGACTGCATGCTGTGAGATGCTACTCAAGACCAACAAAAAAGAAGCAAAAATAACAGGTGAAATGATGAATTCCAAGGACAAAAGAAGGTAAAAGTAATCAGTTATACTGATGGTTTGAATCATTTAAACATCTCAGGGAACAAAATTATATTCAACATAAGTCTCTTTCGAAAGCATAGGATCATTTCACCATTTCAAGACACAGTCTTTTTTTTTTTTTCTTTTTCTTTTTTTCAGCCTCTATGCCCATACCTTTTTATTGCAGAGACTCTAACTAGGATCTTGTGAGCGTGGACAACAAAAGTAATACAAACATAGAAATGAAGACTTCCAAAATGAAATAAGTATTATAATTTAACATTTGATGATGACTATTATTTTTGCCAAAGGCATCGACTCCATGATTGGAAATCCAATACGCTCTATAGTGCAGTATAGCTCAACTTTATTACAGCCAAAAGCAGGGATGGAGCCCAATGTAGGCTCCCCACCGGAGGGGCACCCGGACCGGCACGGCCCAGTATACATATAGAAATTTTCTTTTTATGTACATGTATATAAGAACCCCTGGCCCAGCCTGGTCCAATTCCAATATACATATATTGACTTTTCCTTTTTATGTAAATGTATATGAGAAATTTTACATAATGCCCTCCCCCCACCACAAACAAAAAGAAAAAAAATCATTGCTAAAAATCTCTCTTAATTTTTTCTTTCTTCTCTTTTACTCTTCAAATTCCTTTGATTCCCTTACAAAAATACTAAGACCCATCAAGAACAGTGGTAATTGTATTCAATGGAAATATTATCAATCAATATTTTGATTCTTATACTTGTCAAAGTGTTTATCTTTCTTATACTAATCCTTGATTCTTTTGCAATAATTTTTTTTTTCTTGTTTGCCTTCTGAGTTGAACAGTCTATATTTGTCATGTTAGTGGAATTTTTTTTCCAATCAAGTACACTGTACCCCCAGTGAAATGGAATCCTGGCTCCATCCCTGGCCAAAAGTTTGTCTAGTCTGCTCCAGGCATTCTCATTTTCAAGAAACAACTGCTGGTAATATGTTTAAGTATTTGGAAAAATTCTAAAGAGGAAATATTTGAGTGTGATTCCTTCGGTAAGTAATGTTCCAATCCTCATTATGAGTTATCTTCAACCTCAGGAAACAACTTAGAGAGGTATGAGAATATATTGGGGAAATTTTCTAACAGTAATTGTCTTTCATTGTTATACATTGCCCCGTAGCACACGATTGTTGCCCTGTGGAGCACGACTATTGGAATCTTATTCATGGGTTGCATGGCATGCGTTGGGTAATGCCACATTCTTCTAAGGATTTGATTCATGCTTGGAGAGGATGTCGTGTGAGAAGAGATGTATGCAATTACTGGAGAGTTGTCCCACATTGCGTTTGGTGGTGCATCTAGAAGAAGAGAAATAGCAGAATGTTCGAAGGGAAGGAGTCGTCTACAGTGACGCTGAAACTTTTATTATTCGCTCTCTTTTTAATTATGTCAAGAGGAGTTCTTACTTCTCTTCCGATGATTTAATTATTTTCTTGGATTCTTTATGGGGCCTTAGTCCCCAGTTCCACTTTTGTAATTGGGACGCGTTCCCCTTTTGAACGCCTTTTTATTTACTTCTTACTTATCAAAAAAAAAAAATTGTCTTTCATTACCTGGAACAATATTTGAAACAAGGAAGCCTTGATATTAGGAAATGTTTTCAGCTATATAATGTCTTCGCACAAAATTGGCTTGGACAACCATTGCAAATACTAACTATTAACGGATAAAAATTGTGAGAAAATTTATTAAGAAAAGACGGTTATCAGACTCTCATGACCCGCCCAAACCGTGTAGATATTGTCCACTTTCCACACTCTCCTCTTGGTGCTCACGGTTTTCCTCAAAACGCGTCTGCATGGTTAAGGGCAAACATATAAATGCCAGGACCCTCCCCCACCCACCCCCTTGGGACCCAGCGTCCTCACTGGCTTGGCCTATGCACCCAGCGTCCTCACTGGCCTGGCCTACCCCCCCCCCCCCCCCCCCCCCCCCCCCCCCCCCAAATTTCAGCTAGGGATCGGCTCTAATTCCATTTGTTATGAACCGCCCAAACCGTGTACATATTGTCCACTTTGCACACTCTCTTCTTGGTGCTCACGGTTTTCTCCCCCCCAGGACATCGCAGGTCCTGCTAATCTAGTGCGTGAGGATGGATGGACAGGAATACAACCCTAGTTTTTGCACAAAATTGCATGTAGTGGCTACATTTACACCAACCCTCATTCTCACGTTGGCGACCCATGTTCTTACTATCACACAACTTAGATTGCCTCTGTTTCAACGATTCCCGTTTCAATAACGGGAATCATTTCTTGTTTTCTATTGCCAACCCCTAAAAAAGCAAAACAAAAACAAATATCATGTTTAATAACATGTTTTCTATAATAGAAAATGTTTTCCATTTTTGTGACGAAAGAAGAAATCATAAAAAAATGCGTTTCCAATATTTTCGGCGCTGTAGCGTAAAAACGTTTTCACTATTGTTACTAAAAAAGGCACTACTCTTCATTTAAACCAGGGAAGAACTTCTTATGATTACCCAAAATCAATCTCGTGTCTTTAAATATTGGCTATATTTAAAGACATGAGATTGATTTTTGGTAATCATAAGAAGTTCTGCTTTCTTGAGAGTTGGTAATGGTGTTTTTTTGGTCGTGTTGTGTATTGATCATTTGGGATCATAGAATCCAAATTACTTTAGAAGAAAGTAAGACTAACATTATTCTCGTTTAAGAGAATATTCAACAAATGGTATCAATTCATGAACAATTCTACACCTACCAGGAAGCGGTACATTTAAAATGCAAGTGATCAAAACCCATGTAAAGAGATGTAGGAGATGGGACAGGATCAAAGACAAAAACTTGGATTGAAAAGAGAAAGTAGGAGAGATTGCTGCCAGTTCTAAGATTTTTTTTTTTCCTTAGCTGGTACTCACACCCATGCCACCATTGAGGCTTGAACCCCTAACCTTCCTTTGAGAAATAGGGGCTTGGTACCGCTAGGCCACAGGCCCATTGGTAGTTCTAAGATATTTAAGATTACTAATTATTTAATCTATTTTTCTCAAAATAAGTGACACATGTATTATAAGGAATAACGAGAAAGCCATGCAAGCACTTAAGTAGTAGAAAAATCTCTAGCCTATTATATAGTAATAGATTTTAAATGCTGAAAAATCGTTTTCTATTGATTTTATACCAACTCCTAACTTTGCAGAAAATAACAATTGGGCATGACTATTAAAAATATCATATTGCAACCTCTGAGTTACTCACTTTGGAGAAAGAAATTTGATGGTTCAGTCAGGGTCCACAAGGATAATGATAAGGATCAACAGACATCAAAATCATATATTTTCTATGAAACATCCAACTCCTCACTCACCCTGAAAGGTAATATATATATATATATATATATATACACACACACATATATAATGGTCATGTAAAAATAATGATTAAAAAATGACAATACCACAACAGCAATAATGACAACTCTAATGATGGAGGTGGAGGTGTAAAATGCAACAGTGTACATGAAAAATCTTTGCCTTGGATTTCCTATCAATATTCATAATTAGAAGGGTGGAAAGAAGGGCAAACTTCTCCATTAAATATACATGTACAGAGGGGGGGAGAGGGAAAAGAAAGGCAACCGTAATCTCAATTTTCATGATTCAAATAAGTTGTGGATAAGAATGGTGCAACTTCCTATCAGATTGGCTACCACCATGGGTAGGGTAGGAATAAAATTTTGGGATGGATTTCACGGTGCAAGTTGGATTAAAGCAAAAGGCACCCAACCAAATCTGGTAAAGTTTGGTATCATGCACCCCAAGAGAGCCTCCATTACCATCCCCCACATAAAGTCTCAAAAAATCAAGAAAATTTATTCCGACTTTTCAGTATCTTACAAATAATAATAAAGAAATTAAAAAACGTTAACAGGTAATGATGTGCACAAACCAAAATTAACAATAGTTATATCTAAATGCGTAGAATAGATCATATGTTGCCAAATTATTGAAACTTAAATTGTGACATAGAATAAAGGCAATATTATCTTTCATGCTAATACCTGTATCTTGGGGAATATTGCTAACACCAATGGGGTTGGATTGCACAGAATCGGCCATTGTATTTTGCGATTTTGTCTCCATTGACATCAATTTCATAGATATTTTTCTCATATAATCAGACTGCAATTAAAAATTAAGAAAAAATTATTAGTAATTCATGACAAGTACGAAACCCAACCGTGTTTCACACTAACATGAAAGGAAAAATCTCAAGAACATAATTAGAGCAACAGTGTACACTGTAACATGCCCACCGGAAAAATTAAGAGACACAATGATGAACATACCTGACTTAGTGCAGCAGTAAAGATCTTTTCCTCAAACCTTACAGCAATTTTCTTAAGTTCTTGTAGTTTCTCTTGTCCTTTGGCAGGAAGATGCCTCTCCAAAGTCTCTATTCTACACACGTTGAACATTATATTTCAAATGGCTAAAACAAACAATAAATTGGAAGTTCAGCGTACAGTTAACAAACGGCTATTCTAAAAGCTTACGCTATTTGAAAAGATGTAATTGGATGTAACCTAAAGTTCTTATATACGCAATGTGCATTTCTCGCATGTCACCAAACACCCATTCATGAGAAAGCATAACATTTGGGTGTATTATGATTATCGGGGGAAGTGTTGGGACTTGAAGAGAGTGAACCATGATATCATCATGTTACCAATTGACTGCTTTACAAACTTAAGCTATTATAGATTGTCTAAATTAAGAATTCAAATAACCTTTAAAAAGCATAATAAATAATTCAAGAAAAATAATAACACCATAAAGAAACTGCTGTAAAGTATTGCAAGTTAAACCTTAATCTGAAGCCAGAAGAGACTTCATTTAAAGGTTTCTGGAATTGAAAAGAATAATACTGTCTCAGCAATGTAGCATTAATGTCTTTGTGACCAACCATGTTACAAGAACTTAAAGAAAAATATCCTTCAGAACTAACAGTGGTAGCTTTTGGTTTAAAATTTCTTCTATTCCTTTCTTTCAACACATTAAAGGACACAAAGGTTTTCCATCTTATAATCTTGTTGCAAATTTCATTTTTTGACTTGAACCACCATTCTCATTCAGCATTTTTAACGTCAGTCCAGAAATAGCCCAAGAAAGCAACTCCAGCAAAGGGTATAAGAAGACCACAACACACTACAAGCATGAAGATAGGATGATCCTCCACACAAAAAGACTGGTCGGGTCCAACTCAAGAGCGAGTAAAATGCATGGCAATAGAGCAACTTCACTTGTGAACCAACAGCAAGTGAAGGAAATAACCTTAGTGTAATGCGAAACCAGCACTTGCCAGCTCACCACATAGTAATGGAGAAGGTGATTAATGGATTTTCTTGAACACGCAACATTTTTTAGAAGCATCCTACCTGTTACAGAAGCTTCTCCAAAATATACATGGATGTGTGTGTGTCTATCCGTGTGTGTGTGTGTGCGTGTGCACGCGCGCGTGTGCTTCCAAATCTATAACTAGTGTCAACTGGACCCTAGGAATTTAGATGGGATTAGCTTGGGGGCACTTGGTTTCCTCTCAAAGGCAATACTGTAATTTTGATAAGTTGGGAGGTTTATTGGAATATTCCTAAGAATCGGCTAAAAATTCCCAATAAATACATAGATTTCATGGTGCCAATCCTTTTTGTCTTCTATGGCATTCCAATCTGAGAAGCGGATTTCAAGAAAAGAATATTCAAACTGATTTCATTTGATATAATTTCATTTTAGGCAGTAAATTTATCTCAACCATTTAAATCTGTAGTATATATTTCGAAGGGCTAGCCTAAGGAAGACAAATTGGTTTGTTCAAGACTAAGGAGCCATCTTTGTTTGATAGCAAAGGGAGTCTGAAATGTATAAATTTGCCATTTCCATGCTTCTTCATTTCGCAATGCCCAAATTCTACTCTTCACAGTGCACAAAGAAGAACCCATGCTGCTTTAATGCAGAGTTCCTTCAGGAAGACCTTAAGGCTAACTAGTGAATTTTTCTCCAGATTTCTGTTAAAATGATCCATATTCCAAGAAAGTATTTGATTTTCACATAACCAAAACAAGGAAATTTAAGGTGCTTTTATGTGAAACATACATGCAACACAATAGAGGATATATTACAATTCATCCAATTACATTTTTGGAGTTCAACATCCAACTCAACTCAACAAAACCATTACAGACTAATAGGTTGCATGTTACGTCAATTCGAACAACCGCTCTAAGGCCATAACCTCGGCCAACCCTCATGTAATGATATCCTTCATGCTGACTCTACCCACATTAACTTTGGTATTCCCCCCTTCCCCTAACATTACCCTCAATGTGAACCATGTCACTCTTCCTAACTAGCGCACTGAGTATTTTTCTTGGTATTTGTTTAAACCAACTTAAATCAATTTTCTATCATCTTATCTTCAATTGGTGCTACTTCAACCTTTTCACGAATGTTTTCATTTCTATATTTTCTTGTCTCCATACAGCCATCTCAACATTCACATTTCCACCAAACACATGCATATGTTGTTTCTTAGCTGCTCAAATTTCATCCCATAAAACAACTGGTGTGATAGCTATTTAAAGAACTCCCCTTTCAATCTTACTATTTTTTTTTGATAAGTTCCCATTCAATCTTACTTGAATAAGCAGGTCACACGATATACTAGATGCATTCCTCCATTTAACCCATCTTGTCTTCATTCTATGATTAAAACCATACCGAATTTCTCTTTTATTATGAATAGAGCCTAAATAATGAAGATGTTAACTTTTTTCACGCCTCTTGATCCTCAATCTTGACAACATCCCTATTTGTATTTCTAAGTTTGCAAAAGTTAAACTCCATATATTTAGTACTGTAGCTACTTATCTTAAACCTTTTTAATTCTAGAGCAGCTCTCCAAACCTCCACAAAAGTGACAAAATTATGAATTCCAGAAGGACTATAAATCACATTAAATCTATCTCTAGAACGAATGGCTCTTCATTACTGTAAGGTTTGAGGAAAAATGTATGACTAAAATCCTAGCTAATCAACTCAAAAATGTTCTTAACATGCTCATCTCCCCTAACCAAACAGCCTTTCATCCCAGAAAGGAAAATTTCAGACAACATCATGATTACCCAAGAGCTTTTGAGCAATTACCATAAACCCCTTGTTCCTCCATGAGCTACTCTTTAAGATAGATATTAAAAAAGCCTATGACACTCTCAGCTAGAGCTTTATTGCAGCCTCTCTCCAAGCTATGAATTTCCCCCAAAATTCTTCATTGGATTATCATGTGCATATCCTCCCCTTCCTTCTCTGTAGCTATCAATGGAGAATTATGTGGTTACTTTGGTAGTGGCAGAGGCATTAAGCAGGGTGACCCTATTTCTCCTATCTTTTTGTTCTCTCTATGGAAGGTCTAAATGGCCTGTTTCAGCAACAAATTCAAAATGGATCTTTTGCTTACCACTGGAGATGTGCTGAGGTCTCCTTATTCCACCTGTGCTTCGCAGATGATTTTTATCTTCACTGAAGGCTGCTCTTTGTCCTTTCAAGCCATCAACAGCATTCTCACTACCTTCTCTCTTTCTTCTGGTCTCACCCCTAACTCCAATAAGTAGTGTTGATGAAGATGAGAAATTCACATCTAGGGCTTCATGGGGTTCTCTGAGACATTGCCAATGAAATATTTGGGGATGCCCCTAATTACTACTACACTGAAAGTGCAAGATTGCAGAAGCCTAATTGAAAAGATCACTTCTAAAGTGGGGAACTGGACTTCCAACTGGCTCACTTACTCAGGGAGATAGCAACTTCTGAAATCAATCCTTTTTGGTACTCAGGTTTACTGGTCCTCTATTTTTATTATGCCCAAGAAAGTTACTGTTACTATCCAACAAACATTGAGGAGATTCTTATGGAAGGGAACATGCTTAGTCGGGGGTTGCCGCGGGGGGGGGGGGGGGGGGGGGGGGGGGGGGGGGACGCGGGGGAGATGTAAAGTAGCTTGGTCCAGATGTCAGTCTTCCCTTTTCTGAGGGTGGGTTAGGCATTCAATATCTAAGGATCTGGAACGGGGCTGCTTACTCTAAACATGATTGGAATCTTGTCACTGGTTTAATAAATAAATCTGACTCCATATGGATCAATTGGGCGTCTACCTACTTGCTGAAAAAAAAAAAGCTTCTGGTCAGTTAAAATTCCCTCCTCTGCTTCTCGGAACTGGAGGCAACTTCTCCTCCTTAGAGACCATTAAAAGTTCAAATTTAAACATCTTATAGATTTTGGCAAACAAATTTCATTGTGGTTTGATTATTGGCTACCTTGTGGGTCCTTAGTTGAAGCCAAAGGTTATAGAATTATTTATGACACTGGGATTCCAAAAGAAGCCAAGGTTGCAGACATTGTAGGCCTTGATGGGTGGACCCAAGGTTGCAGACATTGTAGGCCTTGATGGGTGGACCTGGCCTCATTCTGATCATCAAAGCATTCTGACTATCAAATCTCTGTTGAATCAGCAGCCTATCCCTTTTGACCACAAAGCATTCTAGAGCTATTTGGTTTACAGGGGGAATACCCAGGCACTCCTTTATACTTTGGTTGGCTGCCAGAAACAGACTTCAAACCATGGAGATTCTGATGCGCAAAGGTATTTTTCAAAATGACACTTGTGTGCTTTGTGGAAGAGACTCAAAGTCAGTGACTCATCTATTTTTTTAGAGTCAGTATGCTAAAAAACTTTGGAATAAATATTTTGCTGGAATGAGCTGCTACTAATTCAGTCTAAGAAGAATGGAATTCATGTGCTTCATAAATTGACCTTGGCTGCAGCAGTTTATCATATATGGGGAGATAGGAATAGTAGGAGATTTAGCAACTGCTATATGGATGAAAAAGCGTTCTGGTTAGAATTAGTGAAGATGTCAGATTTAAACTCCTTTCCTCAACCTCTGTTAAGCTTCCCTCCTCTTGTTCTAGATTACTTAATGCCTGGAACCTTGTGTAACAGTTGAGGTTGTTTTCCTTTCTTGTAGCCTTCTAGGCTTGCTTTCCTCTGTTGTACTTAGGAGGGTATGCCCCTCTTACAATAAAATAATAATAAGAAAAAAAAAAAATCACGGAAACTCAATCTGAATATGTCTTTTTAGCTTATCCATAACTAAGACAAAAAGATATGGACATAATGTTGGCCCTTGATGTAAGCCTACTTGTTTTCCTTATAGTCATTTTAACTATCGTCACACATCCATCATACATGCCCTTTATAGTGACAATGTATCCCTTTGGGACTCCCTTTTCTAAAACCCTCTGCATCACATCTCTGGGTATTCTATCATAGTTTACCTCCTAGCATGAATCCAAATTGATTTTTCAATGGCTTCTTGCAGACTGTTGTCACAATTCACATCAATAAA